TTCGGCGCCGGAGCAGCCAGAGCCTGCACCGCATCCGCTGGCGCACCACAGCACTCGCCCTGGCCTGCTACAAAGCCGCAGACCCAGCCAGAGCCTGCAACGCCATCCGCTGGCGCAACACAGCACGCCCTGGCCTGCCACAGCGCCAAATGCGACGCCCAGCCAGGCACTGGACCCGGCCGAAGCGAAGGCCATCACACAGCTTGACCTCTGCGTCCACATGCCTGCCTTGGTCTTGCCTCGCACCGCACGCATTCGCGGGGAAGGCCGCAAGTTCTACGCCTAGTACATCGACGATCGAGGAGACCAATGTTGTGGCAAGCCGTGCGCAGCCTTGCCTTTCTGCCGCTTCAAAAGCGTCTGCGGCCGCGCCGTGCAAAGCATGTGGAGCGACTTGCGCAGCTCCCACAAGTGCAGCAGGTGCTGCGCCTTGGAGTGATGCACACCCGCATCACCCGGCCACACCCTGCCTTCAATCCACAAAGCACCGCCTTGCACCCCCGTTTTTTTTTAAACAACACGGCCAGGCGCGTCGCTGCACCTGCCTAGCCGTGCACAGCCAGTTCGCTTGCTGTGACTTAGATCCAGTGTGCATGATCGAGCATACCGCCACAGTGCCAAAAAAGGGATCAATGCTCTGTATGTGCACAGCCAGGGCAGGCCCATGCTCACCCCCCGCCAGTTTACGGCATTAAGCTGGCGCAGGCACGCAACACCCCACATTCATAGCCACTGCCTTGCCCGCAGTACGCTTGTGGCCAAGACCCACAGGCCCGCAATGCCCAGTCTGGTCACACAGACAGCCTCGCCAGGTTGTCTGCCGTTGTTATGTCCATTGACTCCGTTTTTTCGTCTTTTGTCTTCCCCCCAATTTTCGCACCGCTGTGCCTCCCTGCTCTCACCAGCGATGATGAGCTCTGCCCGCAGGCAATTGAGCTGTTGCTCGCCGCGACAGCCTCGGGCTTACTAGCCTGCCCCACGCCTGGGGTTTTCTTTGTATAGGTGTTCCCCCCCTCTGTTTTCCACCAACCGGAAAGATGTTTACACCTTTCCCTGCGCTCTGCCTCGCCAGGTGCTCCAGCGTCATCAAGGTCTTCTGCATTGCCGCCGTGACCTTACAGCCGAGTGTTCTCTCAGGGTTCCGTTTGGCCTTTCCGTGACGCACTGCCTTGTTTTGGACGCAGCTCCATGGCTCAGCATGCTGTGGAGGAACCGTGCTTCTTACGGCCAACCTATCCGCTATGACAACCCTCCCTTGTCGCAGGCAACTTCCAAAGCCAGCCCTGCAGTCAGTTGACCCCAGAGGCCATTGAGGCCAATACAAATTGCCCTGCCCAAGATCCTCCAAGCAGGACTTACAGTGACTCTGCACCGAGCGAGCCGCGTTCTCACCCTTACAGGCAAGGTGCCCCAATCTCTGTTGTGCGAAGCTTGGCCAAATCCATTTTTCCGCACTCGCCTACAACACCTTTACTAGCTAAGGCGATACCTTGCCTTTCGGGTTCACTTCTTCCTACTCGGAACAGTCCAATTTGCGAGAATCTGTTTTGAAGGATTGGCAATCAATCCTTGCAGTTTTCGCAGAGCGCAGCCAACTGTACTGCACGTGCATTGCCTCAATGCACCCCATGGAAATACTCAAAACCTCGTTGAAGCGCTTTGCGGCATCAACGATATCGCAATACATAAAAATCCTGCAGACATGCCTTGTTTTTTGGCAATCGATGCTGTGGTGCCCCACCGCCTTGTCACTGCCACAACTTGCTGATTTCTTGCAAGAGTGCCAATTTTCACAGGAAGAAGACCGCCCAGCATTGAAATGCAGTCCGAAGCAAGCAATCAAAGCTTTGTCGTGGCTGGCGCGCACCGCTGGCAAACTTGTTGAGCAACACTCTCATTCGCTCCTTTTCTTTACCATGCGCTCCCAAGGAGCGTAAGGAAGCCTTGCCTTTGCCCTTAGCTACCTTGGTCGCTTGGGAGCAAAAACTACTCCAGCCAGATTGCCCCGCAACGCTCGGCATACTGCTCGGCGGCATCTTGCTTGCAGCCCATCGCAGTTTAAGATTCAAAGATCTGCAACGCATATCGTTTCAGTCATTGTCTTTGTCCGCCCACGCACTGCGCGGCACGTGCTGGGCGACAAAGACGACAAGCTTCGCCTGCTCGAGCAGGCGTGGCAAGCCACGAAAACCCGCTTCACTCAGGACATCGCACCAGACTTCCTGCTGCCATGCCTTTCGCCAATAGAGAAAGACCCAGGCCCAACGTTCACAGCGCCAATCCTGTCTCTCGTGAGATGGGCGCTGCAAACGCCCTGGTTGCCAACCGGCTCCGCCCAGGTCACACAGACAGAGGCATTAGCCTTCACACTGCACAGCTTGAAGACATGCCTTTTGAGCGCCTCTGCACAGCTCAGGCTGCCAGAGGACGCCGCCAGGCGCATGTTTGGTATATAAACTCTCCGGTCTCACATTTTGCCAGCGCAAAGCATGCAAAGCCTTTTTCGCCCAAGCCACGCAGGAGTGAAATACACTTCGCCCGCATGCAGCGCACATGGGGTTTGCTTTTTGACGGCTCAGGTGAAGCACCTCGCCCAGGCGGGCTCCAGCAGGGCCTCGTGCTTCAGTCTGTGCCGCTGCACCATGTGTCTGCCTTGCCCATGATGTATCCCGCAGCCATTTCCTATTCAGTTCGGAAGTGGTATCCCTCCATTATGGCAAACGACGAGGTCGACTCCCACAAGGAAGAGTTCGTACAACTACTGAACTCCTTCCGCACACCAGACTTGCTCCAAGAGCACATTTTTTCAAAGGGTTTCGACTGCACTGCGGGCTTTGCCTTTGCTTTCCCGTGAGTGGAGAACCTGAACCCCTTCCTGCTGGCATTGCCCGAAACAGATTGGCACACTCTGGACACCGACGACCCACTCTCGTCCGTACACGTCCAGGGTTCGCCAAGCCTGGAACGCGTGCCGTCAGAGTGTGCCCAAAAGCACCACTTTGCCAGCCTCGCCAACTGTGGAAGCTACGCCCAGCCCAGCCACTTTGGACGGAGAAGCTCACGGAAGAAGCTGTGCGAAAATTGGAAGAGGCATTCCGGGCCAACTATTCTGGAGAGTTGCTGGACAGCGACACGTCGCCCAGCATACGCCTCTTGAGCAGCTCCGCCAATGAGTGGGCCGATGGCCTCAGCCGAAACAGGTTGACACGCTTTGCCAACCAGTCACAGCACCGGCGCCGCTTTACCCCTGAAAGTATCAATGACTCAGGCCGAAGATTGACACTGCGTCCAGCCGATGCACCTTGGAGACCCGAGCACCGCGCTGCCACTGGGGTCTTTCAGCCAACGTTGCCTTGCACCGCTGCTCGTGCACGGCAGAGTACAGGACAAATGGGCGCGCCTTTGTCCAGTTACATGCAAATAAGGGCAGTTTGGGGATACCTATACGTTTTCCCACATCTCGCGACGCCAGGCTCACGCAACCCGCTCTGAAGTGGGGGAGCTTAGCGAAGGCCGGGTTGCGCTGGACACTGAAGAGGGGGTTAGTAGAGCCTTCCCTAGCTGAAGCCGTGCACAGCAGTGCACCGCTCTGCATCAGCTAGAGACTCCAGCGCAACCCGGTTACAAAGGAAGAGTGCGTCTCGTTCGTATCGAGGGTTGAGTTGTCTTAGGTTGGAGCAGTGCATGTTTCCTATAACGTTTCCGGACTCAGTCCGACGCGTGAGGACGCATTCCTCAACATCTCTCACGGAGCACGCGTTGCTTCGTGGGACACACAACATTACAGGACCAGCCGTGGGTCTTATCCTTTGAGGACGCAATCCTCATTTTTTCGCACACAAGCTGCACGCATTGCTGCTTGAAGTGCCACAATGCCTCCAGTTTTGTTTCACACCCCTGGGTAACACACCCTGTGAACAGGTTGAACACGCGTTGTTAAGTTTGGGGGTATTTGTGCAGGCTCCGCAGAGGGATGCAGGTCAGGGGATGGACACGCTTTGTCGTCCCTCCCGCATCCTCGAGCCTGGACTTCTGAGCAACGCCTAATAAAAAAAGAGCAGGGCGATTCGGCCGATCGAGTTGTGAGTTCCTCCCCATTCTATTACTGTTCCCCTCTTGGCTTGAGCAGTGAACAGGATTCTATCTGGCAAGGGTGCAGGGCGGTTGAGAGGCATGTGAATGGTGGCCTTGACGTCCGAGATTTGCAGAGGGCTGTTGCGGCCGCTGCCCAGGCGGTGCTTGGCGGAAAGAGGTGGTGCTACAGATGCTTTTTAGGTCCGACATATTTGTTTCAATCTTGTCAACATGCACTTGACAACACTTTACGGTGCTTTTTCACAGCCTGCTTTTCCCTGTTGATCACCAGTGGGTTTTGAAGCGTACTTGGTTGCATTTCGAAATCGCGAAAAACTTTTTCACTCATGCTTTCGCCGTGCGTTGTGTAAAACAGTCGAATGTGCTTGAAGAGCAATGAAAGAGACAATCCCCAGCAAGGCAAGGAGAAAACGCGAACATTTCCATGCTTTCTTTTGCGTCCAGACCCTTGGAAGCTGGTCTGGCCTGCGCCGATGATTTAAACATCTGATTTGCCTTTTGGGCCAGACAGTGCTTTTGGGTTTGGTTTTGTCACAGTGCAACCCTCCACCAGAACCTGCTTGCTACACAAACCTATTTGGATTTTCAAGGCGGCAAACGCGTTTCGGTTTTCAGCTTCCCCTCCAAACCACGGGTTCCTTGGGCCCTTTGATCAAACGTTTTTTTTTTTAGGGGAAATGTATTTGGGTTTGGGGTTCCAGTAACTTTTTGAACTCGCATAGAAGCATTCTGGGGCGGGCAGAAATGTTGGCATTTTGAACAGCAGATTTCAGTGGCTGGTGTCTCTCCTGGCGCCCTTTGACACACTGCGCCGAGGCATTTTGTGTTCTGCAGCATTTTCAGTTTTGGCAGCATTTTCTGACTGTGATGCAGCCGAGGCCCAGCACACAGTCAGAGGGCGAGAGATGGAGTCGCGAATCGTGAGGTCCAGGTCCGATCGGCATGCGCTGAAGACCAAGGACGACTTGGAGAAGGCCATTCAATCTTTGTGCCTGATTGTTCTGGGAGAGTCATGGGTTGATTTAGGCTTAGCTGCTAGTCTCCAGGAAGGCCTGGATTGACCTAAACACCCCAGTTTCCAGGAACGCTTGCGACATCGCTCCGGAGCCTACTTTCGCTATGAGCTCCTGGGACGTTGAAATGTGTTGAAAGAGGTTTGCCAGAGCATTGCACAAGATGTGCCATAACTCAGGAATAGAGACAATCCCATTGATGTCGTCCAGGCCTCAGGCAATGCATTCAATAGAATGCTCCGTCGGTCTTTGCCTGCATCGATTGTTTGGGAAAAGAGATCAACGAGGGCCCAGGCAGGGCAGTTTGCTTTGGGTCAAGGTGATGAACTGCCCGGGCTACCTTGGCCCTAGAGAACGGATGACTGCCGGTGCTCACTGCGAGGAGGCTTTTTTTTTTGTAAACAGAGAGCATTAACCGCATCACTAGAATTCAAGAGGTGTGCTCTTGGAAGGTAAACTACATGGAGCGCGAGCACGCTAAAGTCACGCGGGATGAAGTGACTGAGGTGGGAATCATTGCTGTTTTGGACCCTTGAAGCAGCGTAGATGGAGCAGCTTGCGCACTTACGCATGCAGCACGAGCGAGGCCCGACGCAAGGGCAAATACAACAGAGAAGAACATCGATGGCGTTGTATTGCTGGTGCTGATCAGGCAACTGGCAAAGTCATGCTTGCTTCCAACATACTGATGACTTCTGTGAGATGTTTTCGGGGTGCAGGCTGATGTGAACCGCGTGGCGCGAATGCAGAATGACCCAATGATGGGAAGGAAGAATGTCTCAGGCGGGGGTCGGTGTGGGGTGGGTGGGTGGCATTGCGGACCAATGATTATGGTTCTTGCGTTGAGCGTGGCCTCTTCACTTGCGCACACATTGCATACAAACACGCGCATGCACGGACTTGCGGACACAAAGTCACAAAAAAAGACCAGCGCGCACACACAAGCACAAACACACACACAAACACAAACGCAAACGCAAACGCAAATGCAAACGCAAACACAAGCACAAACACAAACAGAGGGGCATGCAAACATAAAGACAGATACCACACAAAGCAAGTATGCAACCACGCGCACAAGGGTGCAAAGATGGTGCGCAAAGACAAGCACACAAACACAACGTTCACACACAACAAGCACACAGTTATAGACAAGATCGCAGAGACACAAGGAGACGCACAAACGCATGCACACACACACACAACACATGTGCACAGACACACAAAGGCACTCGAACACGGACACACGCACACACACACACACACACCCAAAGATACGCATATAGAGACTGAAAGACAAAGGTGCACACACACAGACGCACAGACAAGTAAAGTTGAACGAAGGCGTAAAGACACACGGGCAGACGACAACAAAAAAGCAAGACAAACACAGACACACCAAGCTACGCAAAGCACAAAGACGCAACGACAAAAACGCAGCAACAAAGACACAAAGACGCAAAGACACAAAGACACAAGGACGCAAAACCACAAAGACACACATGCGTATGCCCTAAGTAGCTTAGCAGGGAATGTCTGGACCTGGTATTCATTTGGCATTTTCTGTGAATTTTCCTGTTGGGGTTGTTCTGTTGGACTGGGGGAGAGGCTTCGTTGGTCTGTTTGTTTGAGTGTTTGTTGCCTGGCACGAATCCTACGGAAAGAAATAGGCAAGAGATCAGTATGCAAGCAGCATGGAGTCTGCACGAAGGCTGGTTTGCATTAGCAGCGTTTTGACTTGTTGGCCTCCTGGCTACAGCCTGGGGCGCTCGGCTTTTTGAAGTTTCCATGTCTTTGAGGCTTGATGGGGGTCTCGGTTTGTGCCCACGGCTTGCTGTTGCATGTCGCACTGATCATAGAGATCGTTGCTCAGTGTTTGCGACCGAAACGGCTTGCGCTCAAATTCTCTTTATGCCGCTGAGTTGCGGATGTCTCAAAGAATGACCACACAGCCTGAGAATTCGGCACAATAGCTGTTACCTGAGTCTCTTCCATGAGCAAGTCAACAACTTTTGACTTGTCCTCAGTATTCGCCAGCACTCAAACATGCCTGTTTTCTGCACACCTCACTAACCTGGAGCGAACATCGAGACATATTCCAGGTTTGCAGGGGTTCAGTGGACATTGAATGAAGACTTGCAGGGGTAAGGATATGAGATAGGCATTCGCCACACTTTTGCGAAGGCCAGCCATTTAACATTGTGAACCACGGAGTAGGCCTCAGTGTATCCGGAGAAGCCGCCGTTGTTTGCTTGAACTCCTGCTACATTATTCTGTTTATTGCTCTGAGGTTATGACAAGACACCGGCTGGAGCACAGCTAGAACATCATGACAACATGATCAGGCGGCCTGTCAAGCTGAGTGGCGAGGCATACACAGACATTTTTTCTTTGATTTGCAACCTTTGGTGTTCTGATTGAAGGTTGTAAAGCTCTTTTCAGGTACCGGTCTAGGGTTCGAGAAGCTGCTCTGGCCATGCGGAATCATTTAGGGCCTGTGCCCAAGACATGCAGGCAATCAATCCTCTAGGCGCAATATTTGAGTCAGCATGGCTTGCTCAGGTTCAACCCCATTATTGGCGAGCAGTTCATGCCCCAGCTGAGCAAGCTATGCGTGTGGGCAATATGTTGGCAAGCTTGGTCACTGTGCAAGGACTCATGGCATCTCCTTGCCGCCACCTCCGCGACCTCCGCCCCTGGCATTGGTCTGCGTCACAGAGAGCTCCAGCCAACACATTGCCTTCTTGTTCTTCGCGCCTGGATTCTTTTCTCCTTTGGATTGGCTCGTTTGCAAGCTGGAGTCAGATTTGGATGGCGTCACTTGCAGGACATGTTCCAGACGAATTTGAGCATTTCATGGTTGGGCATTGGCAGGCGTGATGCTGCTGGCCGCGATCCAGTGCGCTGTGCCATTTTGAGTAAGAATCGCTCATGCGGGGCGCGCATTGTCAGCTTGTGTCTCACCGAAAGGCCCGGCAGGCAACCCAAATGACGCAAGCAGTTGACTCAGAATATAGCCCTGCTGCTTGCACCTTTTGACAGTCCTCCATGGTCAAGGATGTACAGGAATGATCCTGCCCAGCCTTGAAGGCCTAGAAAGGATTCCAAGATCCAATTGCATGGCCCTGAATTGTCTCACCGTGCTGATTCTGCAAGCCAAACATGTTCCGAAAGGATAGGTGGTGCTTGGCAGGCCCCTAGAGGCGTGCAGCTCACAGACGTTTGCGCTGTCTCGGTACAGGAGCTTTGGCACAAGGATCGACCTGACGCATCGACATGAGCAGTCCAAATTTCCAAACATTCCAAGCTGCCAAATATTCTACAACACATCCAAGCGGCATTTAAACACCGCGAACGCGGCCCGAAGCGCGCACGAATTCAGCGTCTTTCCTACGCAAATGCCTTCGGTGCAGCCCTCAGACGTGCGAGGGGTTTGTGAGCTCTGAAGCTAGCGGACAACGTAGAGAGTCCAGAAGGATTAGAAGTTTGCTTTTCCGAGGCAAGATAAAAACCAGAAGGGACATGCAACCTTGCAATGACGTGCTTCAAATGCCTGTTCTTAGTGGCATTTGCAAGAGCAGCACTGAATATTGGACTCACCCCGGTGCCTTTGATCATGTGCCGTGCCCAAGTCCTCATCCACGCTGTTTTGATGATACAGCCTAAAAATACCAAAAAAGTAAACAAGTATATCCATTGACATGACCCCATCCATCTGTGTGTGTGCGCGCTTGCGCGTTTGAATGTCTCCGTGCGTGCGCGTGAACCGTGTCATAGTTGGAAAACAACAGCCTGTTGCTTGCAGTGCTCATCAATGCTTACAGACCAACAGAGTATGGCATGGGCAACAACGCCACACTCTCAAATATCTTGTCAACAAGCTGTGATTGGCAAAGCTGCCTGCGCATGGGGGTTAAGATTCTCGATTTTTGTCACACATGTGTCTTAGTCGACTTTTTGACGTTGAACAACCATGTCAAGTTCATCCGAACGTCAGTGATTAGCGTTTGTGCAAGCAGGTGCGGGCCTTGTTGTGCAGTTGCCAAATAGGTGTTCTGCTTGGCCTTTGTCAGGAGCTGCTGAGTGCGCTCTTCAAGCGACGATCAGATGTTGAGTCTGCAGGGCAGTGCTCAACTCAGACGTGCTAAGTGTCGGAGATAGCGTCCTACGCGCACTGCCCAGCCAGAGACAGCTTCCGCATGCCCAGGGTGTGGGAGTCAAAGCCTGCCGAGTCTTCGGCAGATGCGGGGGCGCGGCTTGGAAGCATTCAATCGCACTGGATGAAACAAAAGACTTGTTTGTCCATGCGAGAATTAATGGTGCACAGTTGTCGCGGTCTTTCCGCGCGTGGCGTGAGGTCACACCTGGCCGGTCTGACATTTGATGGGCCTTCAGCACAGGCTTGGGGCTGAGAGTTTGTGCCAGGCTTGCTTGACCAACACATGGTTTGTTTCAGGGAGAACGGTGTGGCCCCACTGGTTTGATGGCATGTCTCTGCTGTAAGGAGTGGCTGAAGCAGCTGGAGCCTTCGCTTTCCTGACATGTTGCAAGGTGTCTGCCTCTTCTTGGACACTCAGTGGCGTTTCTGGGCTTCACCAGCCAAATCAGTCGAACATGAGCAAACCATCAAGACCAAACAAGTCCAGTTGATGGCGCAGTACATTTGCAGTTGAGCTGACATTTGGGACTGGACCGATGCCATTGGAAGGTGCAGACCATTCCAATTGGGGCCATGAAGCCCATGAAACCCATGCGAAGGAGGTATCAGGCCAGTGAACCTCGGGCGTAAGTGAAACAGAGTACGACACAGACTCAATATCATCGCGTTCCTTATTCAGAGTGCAAACGGCATGCCTTCCAAAATAGTGAAGTGGACGAGCGACACTACCTCCAATTCTTACCTTGGAAAGCTCGCAAAAAGGAAGATGACCACCACATGGAGCAGCGCGCCGATAAAGTCAGCTTTCATCATCCAATAACAGAACAGAGAGCATACCACAAGCTCGGTAAAGGACTCGTTCAGGCCCCAGACAGAACTCGGTTCTGGGCCAAAACAGCTCCCTGAAGGGAACAGGTTACTTGCGTACTACTCCAAAACAAAGGGATTTGTGGCGCAGAGATCACCGTCGTACCTCCAGAGACTACATAGCATGATTGCCGTTCAGCACGTTCGAGATGGGGAGAGTCTAGTGAACACACATGCAAAGCAGTGAAGAAAAGGACATCCATACACCGCCCCTCGCTGCTAGAAGGAACATGAAGATACCACAATGGCCCCCCTCGAAGTCTTTGCAGGACACAAGTCAGAAGTGCAAACAATAGAATCATGGGCAGTTTCTGAGCCTCCGTTTAGCACCGCTGCCGCAGAGGTGTCGTTGAAGAGTGAACCTAGTTGCCAACAACTCTAAGCTGGAGCACAGAAGGCACTCCTCAACAGAAGTATGGGTGAAGCGACTTTCAGAAACAGAAGCGAAATTCAGACAAGCAAAAACCGGAAAACACAAACACAAATTCAGAACACAAGCGCAAACAATTCGGAGACACGCAATAATCAGAAGACACAACGGCGAAAGTAAGACAGCAGATGTTTTGGACGATCGGGATCATCGGGACGGTCGAGACGGTCGAGATGTTCGGGATGGTCGGGACAGCCGGGATGGTCTGGGTCATGGGATGGTGGAGTTGGTTTAGGGTGGCTTAGGGTCAGTTTGCGGTCAGTTTGGGTTGGCTTAGGGTGAGTTTCGTGCTGCCTTGGGGTGGTTGATACAGGTTAGTCTAGGGTTCGTAACGTGCAGGGTCGGCTAAGGGTTGTTTTGACATTGATTTGTGGTTGATTTAGAGTTGGTTTAGGGTCCGTCCTGGTTGTTTTGCTTGGTTTTATGTTTTATGGTTTTGGCTCTAGTTTTGGTTTTGGGTCGGTTGGCTTTAAGCTGGGTGTATTGGGGTGGGGTTATGGTTGGTTGGGGTTGGTTTAGGATGGCTTTGGGGATGGTTTAGGGCTGGTTCAGCGTGGCTTGAAGGTTGGTCGGTTGGTCAGGACGGTCCGCATCGTCGGGACGGTTGGCATGGTCGGGATCGTCGGTGCGGACAATGGTGGGATAGTCGGATAGATCGGAACAGTCAACCAAGCTTCACATCTTCGTCGGCTGAAATTCACACAAGCGTTGGCCGAATTTCGCCTTGCTGGGCCGTTGCGGCCGAATTTCACCTGGTCGGCCGATCACGTTTTCTGAAGTTCACATCAACCCGTGCATACATTACATGGCTGTTACTTGGCTAAGTGTTGTGCATTGCAAAACTTGCGCATGCACCCGTGGCCAGGCCAGAAGAAGATCTGCTGGCGGATGCAATCAATGAAGGAGCCTTGGGAGCCTTGGGCAGTTACAGCTGTTACCTGGAGTAGTAACGAGCTGTATGGAACGCACGGGCTCACATTTGTCATGTTGTATGACAGATCAGGGCATGAATCACAGGACTTGCAGAGCGAGAGCAAGCAGCGCCTTCGCATGCCCCCCGTGCAGTGAAGCCCGAGGACCGAATAGGTTTCGCACTGACTTACAACAAACATCAGCTATCTCCTGAACGGGATCTGCTTTCTTTTGTGAACTGGTCCTCGTAGTCTTCATAGTTTCAACGTCTTCCTTGGGAGTTTCGTGATATTTCACGGGGCCTGCAGGCGGTTTCTTCAGATCGCCAGGAGGCTCGCCGCCTGAAGGAGTTGGTTGCTGAGCTGGCAACCTTGCAGGAGCATTTCTCCAAGGAGAGATTTGAAGTTCCTTTCTTTTCCCGGGAATCAAATAGTGTACGCTCTCCATCTTTCCATCATCATCTCCATGTTGCTTTTTGCTTGGTCCTGTATTTACACTTGGTTTGCTTGCAGGAGCGCGAGCGCTTGGGTGCAGAGAAGGAGGACTGATGTGTCAGACCGAGTTGCGGAATGGGTTGGGGTGATCAACATGGCAGTTTCACATATGCGGGATTACCCTCGATGCCGCAAACAGGACGGACCACTCAGAGTTGGCCGATACTCCAAGCACATTGAACACGCGCTGATTTATGCTTTGCAGCATTGGACACTTGCATATCAAGTGTGAGTTTCTTGGGTCCAATTTTCCATCACTTGTAGACATAAAATGTCTTCTGGGGGATGAGGGCCATCATTTGCATGAGTTTGACGCATTTTGCTTCAAACCGCATGGTTTGGAGGAGGTGAAGGCCAAGCAAGCGGAGATTGCAAAGAGGGAAGCCGATCTGGAGGCCTTACCTTTCCAGTTACATGTACAGGACAAGGCCTAGCCAGGGCCTCAACTCAGCCTCACACAGGTCCCAACGGTGGTTTTTCTTGGGCGGACCATCAGAGTCGGTGAGGGCGGAAATTGGAGTGAGCCATCAAATGCGGTTTCTTGAATCGGCCGGTATGCCTTTGCCTTCCAACCCACCAAGCCCACAGGTGCAAACTTGTTTGTCGTGCGACTTGACCTGATCTCAGTGTACTGATCGCTTCCGAACCAAAGGCGTTCCAGAGATCTCGTGTTCAAGTTCAACTGGAAGAGGGGCAAGCCGACGAGATCCCATACTCTGATCTGAACATAGTCGCTTTGAGCTCCCGCGCCTTTGCTTCTTCTGTGCCGTGTTTGCTTCTGCTTGCTTCCGTTCGAAGCCGCGCTCGTGGGAAGCCAGTTCCAGTTCTGTTCTTTGCTGTTCCTTTTGCTGAAGGGACATCCGCTTGGGACCTGGGACCTGCACTCTATGCGGATGCAAAGACGCTGGCACCCGTCCATCGAACACAGTCCACCGTGCCGACCAGTTCTGTGAATACCTTTCGTCCTGGACCGCACTCATCGCTTTGAGTAGCGTGTCTTGCCTGCGTGGAATTCAACCTTGCTGAGGTGTTTGCTGAGCACCTGGATCTGGTGTGTGGTTGGGCACATGATTTCTCGCTGCCCGGCGCTGCTCATTTGAGTTTGGTTCCATTTAGTGATGGAACACGACATGTAAGTCAAAGAACTAGGTGCCACTGAGAATTGTTATGTGTATATGTTGCGAGGATGTGGAGTTGACAAACTGCACATGGATAGGCCCAGAAAAGAGAACAGAAGCAGAGGGAGGAAGACAGGAAGAATTATCCGCAGCCCGCTACTTGCCTGCAAGATCAGGTTCATTAGGACGTTGACGTTTCACCGTTTCACCTTCCTGTGCGTGTGAGGCTTGGCTTGCCTTTCTGACATGATTGAAGTTGTATTCGATCTGCAGCCATGCAAAGCACACATGTGTGCTTGCCAAGCGGAAAGATGCCAGGACAAGGTGGATGGCTGCATCAATATTGCCGTCGTAGGAAATTCCGGCGTTGGCAAGTCCCTTCTCATCAACAGGCGCGTGTCTCCGTCATGTCTCGCTGTATGTGAAGCTTCACTTGTCAAATTGGTTGAATGCTCGTGCCTCTTTGACAGGCTGCGGAGGATGCGGCCGCAGGCAGAGGGTTGGGCGGCCGTCGGCGTCAATGAAACAACCCGAGAGCCAACAATGCGAGGGCCTCATTTGCTTTGTCAAGTCACTGGTAGGTTTGTGCGACAAGTCCTTGCGCAGCCTTTCAGTCTGCGAGGTATCCATATCCGAACCAGCTGCAATCTTGGAGCATTGACACAGAGAAATGGATTGAGAAAAATTGGCGAGACATGGTGTGACCCTGCATTCACTGTCAAACTTGTCTCCAATGGCACAAGTTAGGTCAAAGGTTCGCCTTTGGGATCTTCCTGGTGCTGGAACCGTCTCAGTGCCAGCAGAGACCTACTTGCAGGAGTGCAATGGCGCTGGTTCTGTCCTTGGGTCTTTGAGTCTTTGGGGCGTTTGCATAGACAGGACATGGGTCTTCGGTACTTTGATCATGTGGTGGTGGTCACTGCGGGCCGCTTCACAGAGATGGAGGCCAAGGCAAGGCTGGCAAGGCTGAGGCTAAGAAGTCTGCCAGGTCTCCTTGAGAGCTGAGCTGGAGCAGTACGCCGTGCCGTACTGCATGGTCAGGACGAAGGCGCGTTTGTGTAGCGCCAGGGATTTAGCATTGGCACGGCCGACTAAGCCTCACAGGTGGATCAGGATGTTGTCAACAACAAAGAGGACCCGGCAAACTCACACAATGCCATGATCATTCTGCAGAGGTCGTGCAGCATGTATCCATAGTCTTGTTGGAGATTGCAAGGACAACTTTGCCGAGAAGCACGAAACCCTGAAGCAGATTAGGGATGACTTGGAGAAGACGCATGGGGTTGCTACGAAAAGCTGCTAGGCAAAAGATTCAAAATCATCTGATGTTGCCTCTTGTACCTTGCGTGCTTGGAAAACTGAGGCTTGTACCTGGTGTCATCCAGAGATCCTGACGATTATGATATGCTCGGACCCAAATGATCCAAACAGAAGCAGATCATGATTTTGTTGCTACGCCGTGGACTTCTGGTTTGAAGGAAATCGGAGATAGCAGCATCCCAATGGGCCACATTGGGGCAACGGATAGGAATGGATAAGCTTTTTAAATGGTTGCTCCAAGGCCTCGCCTTTTGGCAGATCTTTTTCCCGGCATGAAGCGTCAGTGGGGGCCTCAATCATGTGCACGCGGTGCACGCGGTGCACGCGAGGCAGAGCCCGGCACGTGCCGTGCGCTGAGGTTGGACCCGGATGCGCCAGCATTCTGCCCAGCGGGCACAGCGGCAGCTTGCCAGGCTTGCCGAGAGACCTCCCGAGCATTCTTCGCATGATGGGCACTCCGACAGAAAAAAC